TTAGTGAAAAAGAAATTGAATTGCTGAACAACATGTGATATTTGGTTTTTAAGATTGTACGATGCCGTTTTTGCTCATGCGCGGTGATCATGGGGTGCAAGTAAGCGTATATATTCTGTTTTCTTACTGAATAAAAATCAGTTGTTAGTCTGCGCTGGTCCTTGTGTTCCCTTCTTCTGTGTCCTTGTGTGTGTGCGCAAAAAACTTCAATTATATATTCCCTCTTCCGTTGTAACAATAACAGACCCTTTGTTATTCAAGACTGCAATTTCTCAGCAATGTTTGTAACTATACGCAGTTTCCATTATCTATCTTTGTCTTGTATGTGCTTGAATTCTTACTTATACATTTTTAGTTGATTTATGTTGCCTTCGTGATTTGCGCATCTGACACTTGTTTCTTTTCTTTGTCTTTTTTTCTTGTGTGTTATCAAATGTTGTACCCACCCCCTCTGTTATGCCCTACGGGCCCTGAGGGTATTCTAATAAATAAATAAATAAATAGTGCGGAATGGTATACATAGGGCAAGCCGGAAGGTGCCTCAATGACCGTTTAAGAGAGCACAATAATAATGTGCACAATGTAGTTCAAGGACACCTCGGAATCCACTGTGGAGACTGCGACTGCATGCCAGTTTTTGAGCGTTGCGAAGTATTAAGCAAGCACAACTCGCAGGCCACATGTGAGATATTTGAAGCTTATCAAATAAATAGGTTTTGAAGGTAGATGTGTAAGTTGCCCACCGGTTGCGTAGTTGCAAAAAGAGATTGCGTATCTCGATTTTTTTTAAGCTACATGTGTATTCGTTTTCAGCTAATTCAACAAGAAACAAGAGTTTTGCTGACATTGTATTACAGTGGTTGTTCCTGCACCCTTCTATGCATGCCCAATTTTCTCCTTTTTTTTCGCTTATATATGTTCCGATATTGAATCTTTTGTTGAAAGTCAGCGCTCTTTTCTGTTCTTGTTTTTTTTTGCTTCCGTAGTTATGAAGTAACTACTTCTAGGTTGCACTGTTTCTACATTCAGTTATGTCCTACCAACTTGCCTAAGTTTCCACGCTTCAGGTCTTTTACAACTTCAAGTGCATTATTACCTATCTCGAAGCGCTGTTCTCTTCCGAGGTTATTGTACATTACTTTCGTTTTTTGCAGATTAATATTAAGACCTACTTTTCTGCTCTCCTTGTCTAACTCCGTAATCATGAGTTGCAGTTCGTCCCCTGAGTTACTCAGCAATGCAATGCCATCGGCGAAGTGCAGGTTACTAAGGTATTCTCCACTAACTCTTATCCCTAACTGTTCTCATTCTAGGCCTCTGAAAACCTCCTGTAAGCACGCGGTAAATAGCATTGGGGAGATTGTATCTCCCTGCCTTACACTCTTCTTGATTGGTATTCTGTTGCTTTCTTTATGAAGCACTATGGTAGCAGTTGATCCCCTGTAGATTTCTTCCAGAATGTTTATATATACTTCATCTACACCCTGATTCCGCAGTGTCTGCATGATGGCTGATATTTCTACAGAATCAAACGCCTTCTCGTAATCTATGAAGGCTATGTATAGTGGTTGACTATATTCTGAGCATTTCTGTATTACCTGATTGATAGATTGTGGTGAACAAGCTTTGTTCAAAACTATGGCTTTAGTCACGTAACTAACAGTCCTGGTTACCCTCAATTGAATGGTGCAGTGGAACGGGCTTTTTAGACTGTAAAAGATCCTTACCGCAAGAGCAATGACCGGTTCCTGCCGTATTATGACACACCTGGCGTCACCAGGTACAGTCCGTCCCAACATGGGACAATGGTTACGGACATGCATTCCCAGAGACCAGGGCAAGCTGTCACCAGACTTCCGCGACCAGACATAATCTTTCAAAAAGACACCACCACCAAGAAGAGGCAAACTCGGGACTTGGACCATCAGTATTTGGTGACAAAGCTCCGTGACCCCTCTTCAGGAGATGAAGTGCAGGTAACTGATGCCGAGAGCCCGGCTGAAGTTTATGGGGCCCAGCTTCCATGATTGTACATGGTGAAAACTCCCACTAGAGTTTACACAAAAACTGACAGCATCTCAAGCCTTTTTTCTTGGATCCCCGTGTGCCATCCCCAGTGTCCTTTCAGAGCCCAGGGTCAAGCCAGGAGGAACCTTCAAGTGGCCAGCACGGTACGAGTATCAGGCCAGACCCTGACAGTATACCCCACAAGGTTACCAGTAGGCGTGCAATCCCACCCAAAAGAGTGAACTTGTAGTAATTTAGAATTTGACTGAATTTGTAGATCAATGAAAGGGAGATGTAGTGTTGTATTTTGTCATGCAAATTCTAGGTGGTACCACTTACACTAACCCACTAAAAGAGGGCACCACTAAAGCATTAGAGATGTGTATATAGGTGTAATCAATTTCGGTATGGCCTGCTACAAGTGCTGCAAAAGTTCAGGTAGAGCCGCTGCAGTGCAAGCTCGGTGCAGATGATGCAGGTGCAATGTCATCGCGTTCTTTTTTTTTTTCTTCTCTCTATTTCATCGAGGGCGCTCATGCATAACCTGTACGTTGCTTCCCCTACGCCCGCATTCGGTCAAAAATGCATAAATTCACTCATCAGCTTTTCACGTATCTCGGCACTGCCGTCTACGTGTATCAAACCATTTTCATCAACAACAGGAAATCATTTCTTTTGCACACCATTTGCACCTACAACCTACGCCATGTTCAAACGAGCATAAGTGAAACATGTCAGCTTCTGAGCTGCACCGCAACATCACCCCTCCTGGCACGACGCTGCAATTGGGGACTGCGGTGCAGTGCACCCAATAATCGAGGATTGTGTTGTAATGCGCCATTAACCAGTGTAGGTGAATTAAGTAGCCCTTATGTACAGTATCATAAAACTCTGCCAGGCTCTTAGTTGCCAGTCCAGCCAAATGTTGCATCGTCCTTTGAGTACTCTCAACAATACTTTTTTTCGATCATAGATGCAGGTTGGGCCCGTCTTGGTTTGAAATTAGGGGCATTCATGCAAAAATTTATTGTGCCTATATTTAGAACAGATGCCAAAAATTCCCTTTGGTCAGCCCATTTTCAGCATCTAAAAGATACTTTTTAATGCTTAGAATATTGACACCTAAATAATTAGAGCAGCATCCATAATTACAGCAGCAGTGATAATACAGCTGCTATATCAATGACCGCAACCATATTACCTCTCCCATTCATTTTATCACATGATCTTCCAACCATGCCATTCATGTTATGGCGTGTCCTTTGTTACTCCTCTTTCCACCCAGCTACGTAATGACTAGCGAAAATTATTCTTGTTGTGCAGGCCCTGACGTTGTTCCAAATTGCATAATAATGCCGTTGGTGTACTTCTAAATCCACAAGCATGAAACTAGAGGAAATGCATGGCATGGGTAGCCCTGCTATTCCCATAGCAAATCGAATTCTTGTCCACTCCGGCTGTATGTTTTTTTTTTTTTGTTCTTTCCATTTCAGGAGAATTATAAGAAATCTTGGTTATTTCTGCAGCTTTTACTGTGTTGGACCTTGCACTGGTTTTGAGTCCTGTTAGCCTTGGCCACTGCCTCCTTTATCAAGATGCCTGATGAATGGCTTGTACTCCCAGCTGAGTCGGCTTGCCTTCAGTTCTGAGCAAGCATCGTGCGGTGGCACACGCGACCAACACTATCATTACGGAGTTCTTTACTTTGCGGCCCGTAGGCGCGCATCAGTCCAGAATTATTAGAGACCTGCGACTGTACACCACCATTTCGGAGGCCATGAAAAATGTCGATTTGTTGCATTGTTCGCCAGCGACCAACACTAATCAAAAAAGAAAGAGAAAAAGGGTGTGGCAGCTGTTTTTTTTTTTTTTTTCTTATGTGGCAGGTATCTAGTCTAGGAAGCAATCCCTGTATTGACCACAGCGTGACCACGTGACAGTGGTTAGACAAGCCATGCCCCTAAATTGCTTAGCTTTGAAAAACTTATGTGAAAGTTTGTGAAGAGCTGTGTGAAACACAGCCCTTCTAGCGCTCTTAGCCAGGTGCAATTGAAACACCCAGCTTTAGATTACCTGGTATGCACGCTTTATAAGGAACAGTGACTGCAATGTTTGTGTAAGAATGGCAGATGTTGGTGTAAGACTAGGCTTGTTGGTTTAACATTTTGAAGCTTAAGGCGTGAGTACGAATACGTGTGTGTGTGCTTTCTTTTCGTCTGTGTTGTATTCATTCCTCAAACTTCAAATAACCATATTTTTGTTTGCACCATTTTTTTTTCTGCAAACAGAACAATCTCAGCACTGCTCAAATGTATGTCATGTTTGTACATCCAATATTATACATACTTCTCTCATGAATGAAAGCTCAATGCAAGAGTCAGCAATGCCTTTGGTTCCAAGTGTAATTTGGCTAGAGATTACAGTACCTCATGCCCCCCCCCCCCCCCCCCCCCCCCTAAAAAAAATTTGATGAGTTTTCTAATGTAATAGGTTTATAGAGTGCCAAGGAAACCTAGACTATAGGACGATCGTGTGAAAGAGCTGATGCTTGCTATCCAGACTTGCTATTGTCTCAACTTCCCCTCTCCACCTTCTAAATTCCGGCGTTCTTGCAACTACCTAAACAGCATAACGCTTGACAAATAACTCGCCACTGAAGCATGACGGAAGAACTATTTCATTCGCTAACTGCTGTTGACGATGCAAATCAGCGTACGTAGCATTTCCCGATGCATCACGCGTATTTTCTCATCGCACGCGATCACTGCTGGTGCGGGAAACGATCGAAGGATAAATAGGCGAAGCGGTGCAAACGAATCCCACCGCACAGTTCACCACACTTTACCTCATTAAATACTGGCGAGTATAACTGTACCGAAAATAACTGGTTTAGCATCGCCAAGACAATCAGCGTAGCTGCAGCCAAAAAACACCCGGCATTTTCGCTTGGCATCAACGCCATCATGATGTGCATATATCCGGTATTACGATACCTGCTCGTCATGATGCCTGTTGAAAACCGATGCAGAATGGAAGCGACTGTGTCGAATCATGCGCACAACTCGAGCGCGTCGGCGTTGAAGTCGTCCACTGGTGCGGTTCACGTGTTCCTTTGGTGTTGCTCTTGTTCGGTCGCCTTGGCACCCGCTCGGCCGGGTGTCAAAAAGCGATCGCCGCGCACGAAAACACTTCACGCCGCCATCGTTTCAAGGGTCACTAGAACGGAGCACTGCCACAAGAAGCCGAATTCCAGTGGTGCCTCTGTTCCAGACAAAACGCGTGCCTGCCTCGTGCAATTGGAGACCTGCTGTTCGCTTTCGTCGTCTACTTCGAGATGCGCGGATTTTGGGGCGTTCGGGTCACGTCCTCATGCCCTGAACGGGCCTAACCAACGTCCCACTGCGAGTGGACGATGTATGCGGTAAGTAAACACAGAGAAAACTCATCAGCCTGGTAATTAATCGGGGCTGATGTGGAAATAACCGATCTTATATTTATACTGAGAGCCATCTTGCTTCAAATGCCAGATATACCAGGAGAGGGCACTCCCATTGGTCCGTGCCAGGCGTAGCCTCAAAACAGGAGAACAAGAGACAGCCTTGTAGGTGGCGCTAAACATACTTCCAACAAAATAAAGTGATAGAGTAAACGTTTTCAAAAAAACAAACCAAACATCTGCCATGTAAATTACAAGCGTAAAATTTTATCCGATAATGCCTAGAGAGCAATATGACGCTAGTCAGAGTTACAGTGTACTAAAAGGGGCAGTAGAGTGAACGAGGCGACCGCGCCACATCTTGGCTGATTCTCCAGCAGGTGATAGTAGCGGCGGCGCTGCAGTCCCATGGTACTAAAAATCTCAGGAGCATCTGCGATGGGAGCGCGCGCGCCCGACCCTGCGAAAGCGTGTAATTGCTAGTTTTTAGCGCGTTTAAAGCGTTTCTGAACCTTTATAAGTGGACGCACCTGCTACGCGCCATAGTGGCAGAGTGAATATGCATGCACACCGAAATTGCGTCGATACATTTACTGTTTCAAAAGCCTGCACTCAGAAAAAAAAAAACGCCAATCAAAGTTTGCACCGATCCGCCTAGCTTTTTACTCAATCAGCGCTTTGAGCTGCACGACATCATAAGTGGCTACTCGGAAACAACAAAGAGAGGAGAAGTATCTGCTGTGTTGGGGGCTGGCTGGTCCAGACGAAGCAGAAGAAGACGGCCGACGGAGACGTACGCGGCTGGCGGGGACGCCGACCAGCCCGAACACGCGGGTTGGCGCAAAGCGCCGAAGAGAAGAACAACCGCTCTCTACGGTTACCCAACACACCTGGTTTTATTTTACAGTCGCCTTGAAATCCGGGATGCTAGAGCGGCGCCCCCTGGCATCCTCACATGTCATTCCGAAACCAAAAACCCAGAACACAACAATCATCCCCTCCTCGAAAAAAAGTTCACCTATACACTGTTTATATTTATACATGATCGATACCAAAGTATATACAAGGTATGTACGTTAGAACACATGAAAATTCAGAGCACGGCACACCGAACTCACACACTATGAGTCCTGAAAATGCACTGAAAAAATGTATGCAACTCTGTACAATATAGATTTGGATGCATTGGACCTTTGTACAGAACAATAATGTTCACGAACAGTAATGAACAAGAGTTTTACATCCCGTAGTCTTCGAACCGACGCGGCTTCTGCCGCTTCCGCTTAGGGCGGGCCCTTTTGGGTGTAGAATCAGGTGTCTCTGCACCTTGGTCACTTGTGCTCTGATGTGACACATCAAGAGCAGTAGAAGATTGTGAATGCTCTGAACGAGCGTTAAAATTCGCGGTCTCATCAGAGCTCGCAGCATGAGCTTCGGAAGAATTTTGCGGACCGAAGTCTGGTTCAACGATCTCAGCCAAATATGAAGGTTCGAAGTGAACCGTAAGACTTCGTGTACTTGAACCCGCGACACAGACTGGTAACTCCTCCCTTCTTGAAGAAGAAATGCCTGTACATGGAGGCCACATGTAATAATCTGATGGATAGTTGAAAGGCGCGGACGGAACGTGATGGGGAAGACTTTTAGGTGTTGAAGGCGAATCCGTATGGAAAATAACAAGGCGCGAAGCATTCCAGATGTTACCATCACTTAAGCGAAACGAAGTGGGGCTAACCTGGCCCAAGACTTTGTAAGGACCCCGATACTTAAGGCGCTTGCCTGGCACACAAATCTTGACTAGATCGCCAGTGAGAACTTTGGACTGCTTTGCACCTCGACGCGTGTCGACATACTTTTTCATTGCTTGTTGATGGGAAAAAACTCTGGTACGGATTTGATCAGGAGAAGACACTGCTATGTTACGAGGCAAAGAGACTATGTCCAGAGCAACTCGCGGTTGCCTACCATGGAGAAGTTGAGCAGGAGACACTCCAGTGGTGCCTTGTGGTGTGAACCTGTACGAAGCTAAACATTTAGTCAAGACTTGCTTGAGGGGACGGTGCTCTAATTGGGCGATCTGGATATGTTCCTTCAGAACACGATTAAAGCGCTCGATTTGCCCATTTGATGGGGCATAGAAAACTGATGACCTCAAGTGCTGAATTCCTCGTTGGGAAAGAAAAGCCTCGAAATGTTGGGACTGAAACTGTGGACCATTGTCCGTAACTATGGCATCAGGAAAACCTTCCCGGCTGAAGATTGAAGACAGAAACTCAATGATGACCTCAGAAGTAACCGTATGTGTGAAACAAAGCTCTGGCCATTTGGAATGGTAGTCGATGAGAGAAACAATGAACCGGGCATTTTGCGGAACATTATGCAAAGGACCGATGATGTCCATGCCGAGTTTCTGCCAACGCCGATCAGGCCACTGGACTGGCTGCAATGGAGAAAATGCAGGTTTGGCAGACTTGTCAGCTGCCTGACATATATGGCAGTTGCAAACTGCATGCTCGACCTGCTTGTCTAAGGCTGGCCACCAGTACCTGTCTCGGAGATTCTCTTTGGTGCGGACAATGCCTGGATGGGCCTCATGGGCAAGCTGTATTAGCTTGTTACGGAAAAAAGCAGGGGGAATCACGCGGTCATCGCGGAAAAGCAAGTCCTCGACACAAGACAGTTCCTGTCAGACTGCGAAGTAAGGCAAGAATTCAGAAGCAAGAGCACCTTTGGAAGGCCATCCTTCACGTAAATTTTTGAAAACTTGAGACAAAGTGGAATCTGCAGCTGTAGCTGCCTGAAGCTCAGCTTTAGTAATGCAGGAAGTAACTAATGAAACAACTTTCTCATCCCGCTCTTCAGTAACCGGTATCTAAAGAGGAAGGCGCGACAGTGCATCACAACCACATTATTAGAACCCTTACAATATTGAACACTGAAATTATAATACATGAGTTTGTCACACCAACGGGAAATGCGAATGGGGCGGCGGCCTTCGGATCCTGCAGAAAGAAGAGCAACTAGTGCTTGGTGATCTGTACGTAATGTGAAGTGCCGGCCCCACAAGTAAACATGCCATTTCTTACAGGCAAAAAGACACGCGAGAGCTTCACGCTCTCCTACTGAATATCTGCGTTCAGCAGGGGTCAATGTACGAGATGCAAAAGCAATAGTGATCAGCTGATCATCTCTGAGTTGTTGAAACACTGCTCCCAGTCCAACATCGGACGCATCCGTCATGATGACGATGGGAAGCTTCTCATTGAAAATACTAACAGCTGGCTTTGAGGCCAGTATTGACTTAACTCGAATGAAGCTCTGCTCAGCTTCAGCTGACCAGCTAAAAGGCTGTGCTTGACGAAGTAGAGTACGCAGTGGTTCAACAACATCAGCATAGTGAGGGACAAACTTGGCATAATAACCAACAAGACCTAAAAAAGATTGCAAGGTTTTGGCATCAGTAGGCCGTGGGGCATTGACAATGGCCTGAACTTTAGATTCAACAGGTGTCAAACCGCGGGAACTGACATTATGTCCTAGAAATTGTTACTCATTCACAGAAAAAATGCCCTTGTTATTAAGTTTCATACCACATTCACTGATGCGGTTGAGAACAGTGTGCAAGTTAGCATCGTGCTCTTCGCGAGTACGTCCCCACACCAAAATGTCATCCAAGTAACAAAGGGCGCCATTACAACCCTTAAAAATAATTGACATCATTTTCTGAAACACTGCAGGGGCAGATGCAAGCCCGAAACACACGCGGTGAAACCGAAACAAGCCTTCGTGCGATACAAATGTGGTTAGGTCTCTACTGCACTCAGAAAGTTCAACTTGGTGATAAGCAGACGCGAGGTCCAGCTTGGAGAAACATACCGCTCCGGAGAGCTGATGAAGCAGTTCTTGAATGTGAGGAAGTGGAAACACGTCTACGACGATCGCCTTGTTCAGTTCTCGTAAGTCGACGCATAGTCGAAGGGATCTATCTTTTTTCTTGACGACGACCAGTGGAGAAACCCAGTCGGAAGCAGAGACAGGCTCGATGATTCCGCTGGCTTGAAGGCGAGACAGTTCCGCAGAGACTTGCTCACGGAGAAGAAGAGGAATGCGGCACAGCTTGGCACGCACAGGGCACACACCTGGTCGACGCATCACTTTATGCACAAAACCGCGCACACAACCCAGTTCACGGGTGAACATGTGGTGAAATTCAGAAGGCGCGTTGGCCGGAAGATGATCTTGGACGTCGACTTGAGCACACGTCATAGACGCACTGACGATGTTGATGGACGAAGCCCTGATGGCATCACGTCCCAAAAGCGAGCTGCCATTGGCAGTTACATAAAAAGTAATGAAAGCAGTGCCACTGCGATAGGAGACCTGAGCTGTAAAATGATCTAAATTATCAATCGTTTCCTTGGAATATGTTTGTAGAACGACGTGTGAAGGCAAAAGCCGAATGTTGGAAAAATGACTATGAAAGTCAGCGGAACTGATTAAAGAGACGGGCACCAGTGTCCACGAGAAATGACAAGGGCACATGGCCCACTGAAGCTACGATGCTGGGCTCGGACGTAGTGTGGAGGCCATCCACATTTAAAACGGTGACCGTATTGGTCTCGAAGTGCTCGAAGGAGTGGACGAAGAAACTGGTTCAGGAAGATTTGCTGGACGGGAATTGCATACGGACTGAAAATGTCCGATTTTTCCGCACGGAAGACAAGTGCGGTTTCTCGCGGGACACTGCGCGAAATTGGCTAAATGCCGAGCCGATCCGCAACGAAAGCAATGCGCGGTAGCGCTTGGAGAAGAAAATTGCGAACGCGAGTTAGGAGCTCGGTGCTGTTCCTGAAAACCAGAATTTGGCGGAATGGGGTCGCCATATTGCCGGCTTCCTCACCCCCGCGACGGGTGCGACTGTTCTCACAACAAATCCATGCAGGGCGGGGCGTTGCCGCGAGGACGTAGCCACCATTTCCTTTTTCCTCTCTCTCCCTCCCTCTCTGTTTAGCAGAGCGTTCGCTCAACACGACCTAGACTTGG